CCACGTTTTCTCTGTGTCGTTCCTGCTGTGGTGATGTAGCCCCAACAGAGGGAATTGGTCTCCCCCAGGGCAGGTTTTCTTAACATTATGCTTGTGTCATTTTGACTTCCTAGTATGCTTTTTAAGGAAATGTGATTTCTTGGATGGATGAGAATTTTAAATTCATGAAAATATCTACCAATTATACAAGATAAGTACACCCCTATCCATGTAAGAAGTATCCCAGCAGAACTTACAGTATCCAGTGGAACTTAAGTTACATTGTGAATGGAAATATCATTATTCCTATGGGCAAAGTCAGTTTTGTGCTGCTCCATGTGTACAAATTCCTGAGGTGGGTTTCAGCTCTTCCTGTTGGGCAGCATTGTGTGTTTTCCTTGGTCCTTGTCCTGCCGCAACAAAGAGACACGGTAGTGAAGCAGTTTTATTTAAAATTACGTACTTAAAAAGGGAAGAAGCGTGGGCAACCTCAGGGAGGAGAGGCACCGTGAAAGTTTATTTAAAGAGGGAAAGCGCACACTCGGAGAAAGGGGAGCGTGAGCTACCTCATAGGAGAGACGCTGAAAGATCGGCAAAGTTTCATTAAAGTTACTTAGAAAGTGCAGGCGACCTCAGAGAGAAGCGCATCTGGAAAGGTTGGGGAAGAGTTTTACAGGGGGGTGCGGATTTCCAGGAAAGCGACTGAGGGCCAGGTGCGGACCGGCCAAATGGCCCCGCCATGTTCATCTTTGATAAGACATTCAATTTCTTCTTTTAACTTAACACAAGAAATTTTCTGCTTTGATTCCTTTACAGGGTATCAGTTTCTGTCTGGAATCTGGAAGAATATCAATCAAGACTGCCTGCCCGGCCTCCAAGGTGGGCTGAGCCACTGTCCGTTCGATTAGAATACAATCTTAGCTTCAAGATAGAATTCTTCCTGAATAAGCTGTGCCTTTTAGCAGGTGCTAAAGAAAATCCTAAAAGTTATGTTCTACAATTGACACAACAGAAGCATAAACTATGCCGATACTTGTATCTGGGGAGTATTC